ATTTAATTATCGCGGTAGTGAACGTATGACAGCAAGAAATCGAGAATGGGGATCTGAGACGCCGTGTTCTCGAAAATCTGCCTCGGCATACAGAAACCATGTTTCTGCATTGTCTGGCCAATATGGCACGAGTTGGAACGTGTTCGTAGTCGGCTGAATACGAATAAGCTTGGGAGTGAGAAGGTGTAGTAAATGGATATATAAATGTTATCGAAATGAAAACAATAAACAAATATAAAATGGAACAGGCTCACCGATTCAATATTCGTTATTGGTTGGGATATGTGATCACGTCGGGCTCACCGATTTAGGAATTGTCCCGGTGCGAAATTGACAGACGCAAAGACCAATCACTAATTATTCGGACTTGTTATATACCCACAAATACGAGACCAAGGAAGAACGCGATAGCGTAGTCGGATGGAATAGTATATTTGGGTGGTTGTACCAAGATACCAATGCTTCCCAAATAACTGGCTAGAGAGTCGAAAACGAGCAGTGCAACGTAACACGACAGCGTGCCTAATTGCGAGGATGCTTACCTGGCTGTCTTCAGTTTAGCGAGTCCAGTTAAACTATCAGGGCCAACATCAATGTTGAGTGTCGTCGAAGCCTAGGATATTGATTTCGAGGAAGTGTGTGACGCTACACTACCAGTCCTCTACCGAGAACCCACCGAAGTTACTCCTTCCCTTCTGTCTCCTTTCATGTGATCGTTTTTCCTATTGTTTCGTTTTCGTTGGACATATTTTCTGTTTTCTCTTCACAACAAGTTCTACCAATTCTTTTCTGGCATGACACTTGAGCAACCCATCGGCACCACAGACCTTGGAAAAAAACAATACACACTAGCTGCAAATTTAACCAACGCCCAACCATCCGTCAGGCTAACCAGAGCAACGGCAATTGACCTGGGACTGTTCCGCAAGACCTAGAAGCCAGCGCGAAGAATTCAGTTGGCTTAAACTAGCTCGTAAATAGATATTGTATTGCACCTGCTGCGCGCTGTTTGAAAAAGCGATTGAATTTTCACGTATAGCGAGATTCTTGGCGTTTTTTGTTTTTACACATCAAAGGCCCTTGTATTTTTGCTCTAATTGGAACATTATTTGAGTAAAGTGAGACGGGAAATTTTACCGGGTGAATTTCTATGGTTTCTGCTACATGGTGAGCCAAAAGCGTCGTATAAGTTCCTGTGGTAGGACTGGGTACCACTTCACAGTGGCCTCTGGTATGCAGTGTAGCAAATGTAAGAGTTGGTTCCACGAAAACTGTACAAGACACACACCCTCAGCATGTAAGAGGTACAGCAATGCAGGAAGTGTCTGGCTTTGTGCGTTGTGCTGCTCGGATCCGATATTCACACTCCGGCAGAAAAAGCAAAACACTTCTAAATACGATAACTAAGAAACTATCGTTGAAAGTCAAAGCTGATAACTGTGACAGTGATAACGACACAGCATCCACTGACACACAGATTGCTGTGAAAAATTTTAAGAACGTCCCACGACAAGCTGTAAGTCGGGCGCGTAGACTACCTACTAGGTTTGCTGACAGAGACTTGGAAGAAACTACACCAAGTAGGGTGAAGCGAGTATCTTCTAGATCTCGCATTCCAGAGCTGACAGACCCAGTCTGGAAAATGTTGACCGTGAGATTAGGTCTATTTCAGATGAAAGAAACAGTAGTGAAGGGTTCTCAGCATCAACGACGGAACCATGCAGGCCTCAGGTCATACCCAGTTCGGAGATCCAATCATTGACGAGAATCGCACAGAATAGGGTGCAAGTCCGTTCTGAGGCTCTCAGTGTCAAGATCCCTGGACTGGGCTTTAGTAAACCTTGTATACCCGACTCTGAAAACTGGCAAGTAACCAAGCCTAAACGGTATGCTAAGAGGCTAACAACGGTCACCGAACCAGCTATCATCACTCCACATAGCAAAGACAAAGTAGAGATCCTTGGTAGGTCCGTAATTTTCCACAGAGTGGAAGAAAGCAGAGACCCAGAACCACGTTAACGTTTCGAACATGACCTTGGCAAGGTACAAAGTTTGATAAACCAGGTTTTACCAGGAAACATGCCGGGAGTCACCCTACTCAAGATATATAGAGTAGGAAAACAGGAAGCAGTCGTTACCAGAAAAAGGTTTCGGCTACTTAAAGTTGCGTTCAAGTCAGCAGATGAGAGGAATCAGATTCTGAAGAATGCTCACAGACTTCAAGGATCTGAAGTATTCATGCGAAAAGATCTGGCTCTTGCTGATTGAATCGAAAAATGAGGAGCAGAACTAAAATCCAGATCAGCAGTTGGAGAGCAAGATCTGAAAGTGGTGGGCTTTCGTGTAGTGAGGTTTCGGTAGCGAATAATGCCGAAGCCTGTATGGATAGGACGGGAACTCATTTAAGTAGTTTCGTTGTCTTTCGACAAATGCGCGTAGTCTTTTAGCAATGTGATAGGCAACGAATGCCTTGACATGAGTGTTATCTCAGGAACTTGGTTCTCTTGTTGGACCAGTGACTGCGAAACACACTTACTAGGATTCGACACTTTCGGAGGCGACATGTTATCACGCAAAGGTGGTGGTGTCGTCTTTTACGTTGAGCAAAACTTAACTGTTAAAGCCGTCGAAACAGTTGCACATGCGTAGTGGTATACCCGCCCTGATCAATGGGACAGAAAATGGCTATTTGATTGAGGACGATAGGGAAAAGGAGAAGCCATGGCTGGATTTTTCGCCGAGGTCTTCACACAGGAATTTTCTGTCGACACTTATGCAACAGTAAAAGCATCGACATCCGACAGAATAAACTCTGTGGATGTCGATCGCAATGATGTGTTTCGGACACTAGGTAATCTTGACGTGGAAAAATCAACGGGACCGGATGAGCTGCACCCAAGACTGCTCAGAGAGCTTGTACTTTGTGTAGCCGGCCCACTGACTGACTACTATATTCAGACTCTCTTAGTGGAGGCATACTCCCCCATGATTGGGAGAATGCCATAGTAACACCTATCCACAATGCAGGTTATAGGCAGCTCCCATCAAATTACAGACTGATAAGTTTGACTAGTACTGTAGTAAAAATCCTAGGAAGAGTAATCAAGAAAGCCATCATAGTCCACATGGAGAGAGACACTGTATTATCTCGGTTTTCGTAGAAATTTCTCTTGCTTGACGAACCTTCTTACAGCCAGAGAAAGTTGGGTTAAGTCTAAAGATGATAGGATACCTGTAGATGTTATTTCCATAGACTTTAGCGAGGCATTCAACGAGGTACCTCATTCCAGGTTGGGTTGCCACATAAACCGAAACCTTCAGTTACAGTCATAATAACAGGTGACTAACGCTCAACTTTGGGAGCTGAGACAGTCGTAAAGGTGTCATAGAAGTATTTCCGGTATCCTAATAGACAACTGTGATTGTCTCTCTCAATGTTTTGAAATTCACGCCTTCCTGGACGGCATAAGATGAGACATTGCCTCTCTTGGCGACCACTGGTATCAAATGGATGGTGGGCACAAATAAATCATATTACTTCCAGCCATCTTTTGAGAGGATAGTTGGAAGATTGCTCTCCTTTCTGGAGTATCAGGATGACACATGGTTTAGATGTCCAGAGTGAAATTAACAGTGACGTTTTAGTCAACTAGGAACTGTGTTTCGCAGCACTGGATCTCTAGCAATCCTCGCAGAGTGAGAGGTTGGGGATATTGTTCGAGCCGTATTTTCGTTATCAGGAAATTTAAAAATTGAGGTGTGCAGATGAGTAGTTGGTGGTTGCTTATTTTTTTGCATACTCCTGGAAGGATTCATGAATTTGGTACTTCCCGGCTACCTATATTCCGTTGCTTCAAGGTACGTGGGAGAGAAAACTGGATAGTTTTCAGAGAACCCATAGGATATCTGCTTTAGGCCTTCCAAAGATTTTTGGGTTGACATTTTTTGTGTCGACGCCAGACACGGAAGACCTGTACCGTCGTTACCGGAATACTGCATGACAAGGATGAGTGTTTCACCTCAAGGTTTACCTTTTTTAACTCACGAAAGAAAGGCAACATCACCACGGAACGGCTGGTCATCCGCGGAGCATGCCTTACTGCTTCCAAGCCCCTAGCCAGCCAGCAGTACGACTGCTCTCGCACTCCTATCAGAGCGTAGCGGTTTACGTTATAACGATGATTTTCTTTTCGTCTTACCACTATCCAACTTATCTTTCTGACGTAGTGGAACCTTGAGAGAATAAGCGTTTCGTTCAGTGTGGACCATCAGTTGATTGTGATATGCAAGCCTTGCCACCACATTAGTGTAGTAACCGTCCGTCATGTTTAGGATAGCCAGGGCAAGCTTATGTGGCGAGTGAGTGTTCGATAATCTCTAGTCACCGAAACCTCTCCTATTAACTGTTGAAATTACCTCTCTTTTGTGTTGTGTCGGCAACTGAATAGTTCACTTTCCTGCTGTCAACTGCTACGTAACTTATTCTTTTACCAGCAAGTTTGTAAATCATTCATCTTTTGGTGGCTCTAACAATGGGGAAACTACCATTTCCCATACTTCTTAAAATATATAACGAAGTCCCATTCGTTCTGTCAGACTGAAATAGTAAGAAACTAAACGAATATGAGATGCATTATATACTCAGTTCCTATTGAAACGGCTGCTCTCATCTTTTTATCATGCAGTCTACAAGATGTGTGATAATTTTCCAAGCTAACTGCTTGCTTTTTAGGTATTTTTCGTGTATGTGGCTCAATCACAGTTGCATTGGTAAGTTATTGACTTCCAACGTTCTTTGACTCTGAATTTTATCCTTTAGTAACAATTATAGGGAAATGTCATCGAAACGGGCACAACTGGTTATCAGCCATCTCAAGTTGTTTTCTTGAAAGTTTCAGAAAACGTAAACTGTATTGTAATTTTCCCCGAAATTCATGTAGTTTTACAATTGATGGGGAGGTATCCTATATGCAAGAACGTTATTCTCTGCTGAACAAGGAATGCAAAGGTAGTGAAAAAGCATTATTGAGACGTATACTGAATGTTTGTCTATGTGTAGCGAAGTTGCATTTATTTGTGCATTCAGAAAATTTTCCATGTTGGGATGAATTTAAATGCTCTGCATTTGTCCAGAACAAATGAGCAGTAGATTAAAAAGCGCGGTACTTTTTTGATCTCTGATGATAAATTTCATTTATTATTTTGTTTGTTCCAAGCACAAAATTGCAAGACATGATTACTTAGAGATGCAATATTATTATTAGTCCCTTGGGTTCCTAATGAAACATAGGGCTTCAGTAGCACGTCTCCAGTGAACTCTGTTCTCTGAGATCTTTTGAACCTGGTTTCACGACAGCCCAGAAGCTCTCATTTCCTCCTCGCACGACCTCCTCCATGTCACCCTCGGACGTCCGATTCGTCGCTTCCCATGGGGATTCCACTCGAGGGCCTGGCCTGACGCGTGATGTCCCCAGTCGGCCTTCTCAGTGTATGCCCAATCCATCTCCACTTCCTTCTACATATTTGCTGCGTGTTCAGTGAAGAAAAACACACAGAATAGGGTGCAAGTCCGTTCTGAGGCTCTCAGTGTCAAGATCCCTGGACTGGGCTTTAGTAAACCTTGTATACCCGACTCTGAAAACTGGCAAGTAACCAAGCCTAAACGGTATGCTAAGAGGCTAACAACGGTCACCGAACCAGCTATCATCACTCCACATAGCAAAGACAAAGTAGAGATCCTTGGTAGGTCCGTAATTTTCCACAGAGTGGAAGAAAGCAGAGACCCAGAACCACGTTAACGTTTCGAACATGACCTTGGCAAGGTACAAAGTTTGATAAACCAGGTTTTACCAGGAAACATGCCGGGAGTCACCCTACTCAAGATATATAGAGTAGGAAAACAGGAAGCAGTCGTTACCAGAAAAAGGTTTCGGCTACTTAAAGTTGCGTTCAAGTCAGCAGATGAGAGGAATCAGATTCTGAAGAATGCTCACAGACTTCAAGGATCTGAAGTATTCATGCGAAAAGATCTGGCTCTTGCTGATTGAATCGAAAAATGAGGAGCAGAACTAAAATCCAGATCAGCAGTTGGAGAGCAAGATCTGAAAGTGGTGGGCTTTCGTGTAGTGAGGTTTCGGTAGCGAATAATGCCGAAGCCTGTATGGATAGGACGGGAACTCATTTAAGTAGTTTCGTTGTCTTTCGACAAATGCGCGTAGTCTTTTAGCAATGTGATAGGCAACGAATGCCTTGACATGAGTGTTATCTCAGGAACTTGGTTCTCTTGTTGGACCAGTGACTGCGAAACACACTTACTAGGATTCGACACTTTCGGAGGCGACATGTTATCACGCAAAGGTGGTGGTGTCGTCTTTTACGTTGAGCAAAACTTAACTGTTAAAGCCGTCGAAACAGTTGCACATGCGTAGTGGTATACCCGCCCTGATCAATGGGACAGAAAATGGCTATTTGATTGAGGACGATAGGGAAAAGGAGAAGCCATGGCTGGATTTTTCGCCGAGGTCTTCACACAGGAATTTTCTGTCGACACTTATGCAACAGTAAAAGCATCGACATCCGACAGAATAAACTCTGTGGATGTCGATCGCAATGATGTGTTTCGGACACTAGGTAATCTTGACGTGGAAAAATCAACGGGACCGGATGAGCTGCACCCAAGACTGCTCAGAGAGCTTGTACTTTGTGTAGCCGGCCCACTGACTGACTACTATATTCAGACTCTCTTAGTGGAGGCATACTCCCCATGATTGGGAGAATGCCATAGTAACACCTATCCACAATGCAGGTTATAGGCAGCTCCCATCAAATTACAGACTGATAAGTTTGACTAGTACTGTAGTAAAAATCCTAGGAAGAGTAATCAAGAAAGCCATCATAGTCCACATGGAGAGAGACACTGTATTATCTCGGTTTTCGTAGAAATTTCTCTTGCTTGACGAACCTTCTTACAGCCAGAGAAAGTTGGGTTAAGTCTAAAGATGATAGGATACCTGTAGATGTTATTTCCATAGACTTTAGCGAGGCATTCAACGAGGTACCTCATTCCAGGTTGGGTTGCCACATAAACCGAAACCTTCAGTTACAGTCATAATAACAGGTGACTAACGCTCAACTTTGGGAGCTGAGACAGTCGTAAAGGTGTCATAGAAGTATTTCCGGTATCCTAATAGACAACTGTGATTGTCTCTCTCAATGTTTTGAAATTCACGCCTTCCTGGACGGCATAAGATGAGACATTGCCTCTCTTGGCGACCACTGGTATCAAATGGATGGTGGGCACAAATAAATCATATTACTTCCAGCCATCTTTTGAGAGGATAGTTGGAAGATTGCTCTCCTTTCTGGAGTATCAGGATGACACATGGTTTAGATGTCCAGAGTGAAATTAACAGTGACGTTTTAGTCAACTAGGAACTGTGTTTCGCAGCACTGGATCTCTAGCAATCCTCGCAGAGTGAGAGGTTGGGGATATTGTTCGAGCCGTATTTTCGTTATCAGGAAATTTAAAAATTGAGGTGTGCAGATGAGTAGTTGGTGGTTGCTTATTTTTTTGCATACTCCTGGAAGGATTCATGAATTTGGTACTTCCCGGCTACCTATATTCCGTTGCTTCAAGGTACGTGGGAGAGAAAACTGGATAGTTTTCAGAGAACCCATAGGATATCTGCTTTAGGCCTTCCAAAGATTTTTGGGTTGACATTTTTTGTGTCGACGCCAGACACGGAAGACCTGTACCGTCGTTACCGGAATATTGCATGACAAGGATGAGTGTTTCACCTCAAGGTTTACCTTTTTTAACTCACGAAAGAAAGGCAACATCACCACGGAACGGCTGGTCATCCGCGGAGCATGCCTTACTGCTTCCAAGCCCCTAGCCAGCCAGCAGTACGACTGCTCTCGCACTCCTATCAGAGCGTAGCGGTTTACGTTATAACGATGATTTTCTTTTCGTCTTACCACTATCCAACTTATCTTTCTGACGTAGTGGAACCTTGAGAGAATAAGCGTTTCGTTCAGTGTGGACCATCAGTTGATTGTGATATGCAAGCCTTGCCACCACATTAGTGTAGTAACCGTCCGTCATGTTTAGGATAGCCAGGGCAAGCTTATGTGGCGAGTGAGTGTTCGATAATCTCTAGTCACCGAAACCTCTCCTATTAACTGTTGAAATTACCTCTCTTTTGTGTTGTGTCGGCAACTGAATAGTTCACTTTCCTGCTGTCAACTGCTACGTAACTTATTCTTTTACCAGCAAGTTTGTAAATCATTCATCTTTTGGTGGCTCTAACAATGGGGAAACTACCATTTCCCATACTTCTTAAAATATATAACGAAGTCCCATTCGTTCTGTCAGACTGAAATAGTAAGAAACTAAACGAATATGAGATGCATTATATACTCAGTTCCTATTGAAACGGCTGCTCTCATCTTTTTATCATGCAGTCTACAAGATGTGTGATAATTTTCCAAGCTAACTGCTTGCTTTTTAGGTATTTTTCGTGTATGTGGCTCAATCACAGTTGCATTGGTAAGTTATTGACTTCCAACGTTCTTTGACTCTGAATTTTATCCTTTAGTAACAATTATAGGGAAATGTCATCGAAACGGGCACAACTGGTTATCAGCCATCTCAAGTTGTTTTCTTGAAAGTTTCAGAAAACGTAAACTGTATTGTAATTTTCCCCGAAATTCATGTAGTTTTACAATTGATGGGGAGGTATCCTATATGCAAGAACGTTATTCTCTGCTGAACAAGGAATGCAAAGGTAGTGAAAAAGCATTATTGAGACGTATACTGAATGTTTGTCTATGTGTAGCGAAGTTGCATTTATTTGTGCATTCAGAAAATTTTCCATGTTGGGATGAATTTAAATGCTCTGCATTTGTCCAGAACAAATGAGCAGTAGATTAAAAAGCGCGGTACTTTTTTGATCTCTGATGATAAATTTCATTTATTATTTTGTTTGTTCCAAGCACAAAATTGCAAGACATGATTACTTAGAGATGCAATATTATTATTAGTCCCTTGGGTTCCTAATGAAACATAGGGCTTCAGTAGCACGTCTCCAGTGAACTCTGTTCTCTGAGATCTTTTGAACCTGGTTTCACGACAGCCCAGAAGCTCTCATTTCCTCCTCGCACGACCTCCTCCATGTCACCCTCGGACGTCCGATTCGTCGCTTCCCATGGGGATTCCACTCGAGGGCCTGGCCTGACGCGTGATGTCCCCAGTCGGCCTTCTCAGTGTATGCCCAATCCATCTCCACTTCCTCCCAGTGCATATTTGTTGCGTGATAGGTTCTTGGTTGGTTCGTTTCCAGAGCTCCTTGTTGCTTATTCTTTCTGGTCATCTGATCTTCAGTAGCGAGCCAGTGTAAGCAGTTGTTGATGAATGTCTGTAGTTTATTGGAAATCCATTTCATAACGTGCCAAGTCTCTGAACCATACAGAAGCACTGACTTGACTGGATTGGTGTTGAAAATCCGGATCTTGTTCCACATGCTGAGTGCAGAAGATCTCCACGCTAATTTCCGATTAATGAAAGCCTGTCTTGCTTTTCCGATTCTGACTTTGACATCCTCGTCTGTGCCGCCGCCTGTAGTTGAAACAGTGCTTCCTAGATAGGTGAAGGAGGTTACTTCCTTTAAGTTTCTCCCGTTGATGGTGATTGGAGTTTGTTGTTGTTGAAGTTGTTGGTGCGGTATCTTCATCACTTCTGTCTTCTCTATATTCACCTGAAGTCCCGTCTTCCCTCGCTGCCTCTTCTGCCAACTTGTTAGTTTTCGCCTGTAGATCTTCAAGTTTGTGTGACATCAGGCACAAGTCATCGTTGGCGAAATCCAGATCTTCTAGGTTCTTTTCCGCAGTCCAGCGCATCCCCTCTTCTCGCTCCTCACTGTTCGCTGCATGATCCAGTCGACCACAATCAGGAATATCATGGGGGATAGTAGGCAACCTTGTTTCACTCCTGTCTTCACTTCAAAAGCATCACTGAGCTTCCCATTGTGAATTACTTGGCATGTGGCGTCTTCATATAGTTGTTGAATGAGGTTGATAAAGATTAGTGGGCACTCCGTAGTGTTGAAGCAGTTTCCAAATTACCTCTCGGTCGACGCTGTCAAAGGCCATCTCAAAGTCGATGAAGTTGAGGTGTAGAGTTGACTGCCATTCTATGCTCTGTTCTATGATGATGCGAAGCGTTGCAATTTGGTCCGCACATGATTTGTACTTCCAGCCTGTTCGGGTTGTAATTTTGAATCCAGCGCACCGTTTAGTCTCTCCAGGGTGATGCGGCTTAATATTTTGCTTGGAGTGGACAGGAGCGTGATTCCGCGCTAGTTCTCGCAAAGACTTAGGTCTCCCTTCTTTGGGACTTTGACAAGGTAGCCCTTCTTCCAATCTGCAGGTATTTTTTCCTCCTTTCAAACCTTCTGCAGTAGTGGTGTGAGCATGTCTGCTGTTGTCTCTGCGTCCGTTTCCAGTTCTTCTGGCGGAATTCTATCTGGTCCTGCTGCTTTCCCGCATTTCAGTAGCTTTATGGCGCTCAGGACTTCCATTTTTGTTGGAGGATTTGTGTTCACTTGTAGTTCTGTGACTGGGCTGCAGGTGGTATTTCTGGACGAAGTGCAGGTGGTGGTCGATTCAAGAGCTTTTTGAAGTGGTCGGCCCATCGTTTCCTTTGTTTCTCTTCTTTGGTAATTAAATTTTCGTCGTCGTCTTTTATTGGTTTCATGTGTTTTGATCTCTTCCCAGATAGTAACCTGGTTATTTGATACAATGTTGTCAGGTCTCTGTCTCTCCTACCTGCAGCCTGTTCTGCTTGACTTGCCAATGTGTCGTAGAAGTGTCTTTTGTCTTTGCACACACTCTTCTTCACTTCTTTGTTCAGTGTAGTGTTTTATACGTTGTACTCAGTTCCTCTTCTCATTGTGCAACCTTGCACTGGTTTATCTTCTGCTTCACCATCCTCTTCTCCTCTGTCAGCTTCCATGTGTCCGTCGAGATCCATTTCTTGTCCTGACTTCTTTCTTCTTCCTTCCTAATATGGTTATGTAGGTTTATTTCCACATAGCTTCCAAGGAGTTCCAGTGTTCTTTCATGCAGGTTCCTTCAGGGATGTTGTTCAATGTCTCCCACTTTTTTCCTGATGACTGACTGACGTGAAGATGTCCTTTTTAGTTTTGTCCTTCAGTTTCCGTTCTGGGTGTTGAACTTGAACTGTGGTCTATCATCAGCTTCCTTGAAGGCTTTCAACTTGATTTTGAAGGTAGGTTCCTTGCACTAGATAGTGGTCTGAACCTACATCTGCTCCTCTTCTTGACCTTGTGTCAAGTAGGCTGACTGCGTCTCCATTTTCTTGAGATTGAGATAAAATCGATTTGATTCTTAGTGTGTCCTGGTGTCTGGTGAAATCCATGTCGCTTTTTGGATATCCTTATGCTGGAACACACTGCCTCTAATCACCAAATCGTTGAATGCACAGAATTCTGCAAACAATTCTCCATTCTTGTTCATTTCAATGAGTGCTTCTCGACCTATGGTTAGTTCTCTTCCTGTGTTGTCTGCTCCCAGTTTGGCATTCATGTCGCCCATTAGAATTTTGATATCGCCAACTGGAGTCTTGTCTATCACTGATTGCAGTTGTCTATAGGATTCCTCCTTCTTCTCTTGATCTGCATCATTTGTAGGTGCGTAGCGTATCATTGAATGATTGTGACTTTCCTTCCTTTTGAGTTGGATCTTGCTGTCATTGTCCTGATGCTGGAGGAGATTGGTTCCCACTGCATGAGAGTGAGCCTTCGATGCTCTTGGGGACATGATAGCCACTGCAGAACTCCGTGTGCTCGTGGTTGTCGTCTGGGTTAGGGTATCGGAGTAGATTATTGATTCTCCAGTTGACAGTTTGGAGAGTCCACTCCCATTCCATTTGCTTTCGCAAATTCCAAACATTTCAATGTGGTACCTTCTCATCTCGTTTGCAATCTGGGCTGCTTTGCCAACTACGTTCAAACATGGTGCAGACATTCCATGTCCCCACGTTTACTTTCGCTTTCATCGAGAAGACACATCCATCAATTGGCTTCCCGAAGTCTTTCACCAACTGGCGTCATTTTGTCTCTCCGATTCCAGCGAGGAATAATTTTGTTTTTATTTTTATATATCGTTTGTGCTTTGAAGTTTCTTTAGCGGTTAGATTTGTTTTACGGGGTAGGGTTGCTAGCCCTATGCCCAACCTTCCCTCTTTACCCGGGCTTAGGGCCGGCTAGTAACTAGTGAACTAGTTAACCAGGCGAGGTTAGAGATGCAATATTACGCAGCAATATTAATCTCAGTTAGTTAGAGGCAATCGGCAGGTAGCCCTGGACCTAGGTCTCGTGCTTGTTGGCACTCGTTAGCAAGGCGTATCTGCAGCCTAGATGTATAGGATTCGGTCTGCACTTAGAACTAGACAACATGAAATTGGTTGCACTCCCTTGCCCAATCTATACAGGCAATATTAATCATTTACAAGTGGTTATATGTAAAGGAAAAAAAGACGGTAGCAAAAATAGGGGCAGGTTATTAGAAGTGGTCTCAAAGATGGACTTTAATAAGCATTCACTACCTTTGTCTTACTCTTCCATAACAAAAGGAAAAAATCTGTAGTGTGATTGCCATTTTTTTCGATTCCAAACCATATTTCATATTATTTTAAACGATTGGGTTAAATAATAACTTGAACTCAATTCAGGAAGACATGAGGCATCATCAACAGATGGTAGGTAACTCAACACAACCATCTTTTATTCCACGTCACCACCACTTCATTCACTAACTTCCTATCCGTTTCATTCATCCAGTTATTTTTGAATGAGAACCAGATGAGTTCAGATCAGTTTCTTAGACTGAAAGCTTAACACGAATGTTCTTTGATCCCATCAGTTTCACTTATTGACAATGCGTGATGGGAAATTGGTTCAGTTGGAGACATACAACAAAGAACTACCTTGTGTTTTCAAATTTTCTACTGGACAATGAAAGGCACACCTCTTCAAACATAATGAATTTCTTGTATCTATATGCCATACCTTTCTTTATAATCTTCAAGTTGTTTGTTTAACGCAATAATAATTGCTCCTGATGACTCCTATTGTGGAAGTTGATATATAGACGCATAGGAACTCAGCTTAAGCTGAACAGTACATGTTTTTGTTTCAAACTATCTCAACCTTCAGACACCAACACAGTTTATGAGAAGAAAAAGAAATGCGAAAAATGGAAAGTATGAAGTTTGAAGAGTTGTTAATGAACACCTATGTTCATGGTTAATGAGACAAAAATTATAAAAAATGGGGACATTACATGCAATTTGTTTTATCGGTTCTTCGAAGTGATAGTTCTCAAACTGATGAAAATTAGTTATTTGCAACTACATAAGCGGAACTCATTACGGTTAGGTTGCGATATTACTGATGCCTTGACAAATGTCTGGTAACACAAGTTAGTCTACCACTTATATGTGAACAGATTATCGTAAAAACCAAATCGTAGTGTAATAGACGTCAGGACTGTTTTAATTTCCGTAGCAAGTATCTCTGTGAATGTCTAGTTTCTTCTTGAGCGCATCCACTCACATAAGTTATACCACATTTTTAATGATAAGCTTCAACTGCTGACTATCTGGTTCATAACAGATGAAAAATCGTCTCCTGAGTCGATTGAACTATGGCCTTAAAACCTTTGTGCGGCTATCACATAGATGATCATTCCTGAAAAAAGTTAAATAAGATATGTCAGCACTAAAATGGAATAAAACGGTATGAATATCGCAAGGATATTCCAAACTAGCATCTTTTCAGTATTAGTGTAACCCAGTAAAGTGAAGGGTCCAGTTATATGTAGTGTACTACTAAATAACTAAGCTCTTCCCATTACCACATGCATACTTATGCACTAGACAATAAGCCACACCTTTTGTGTGCGTTCTAATGACGTTTGGTTGTCCTAATATCAGTAGACGTGGAGTTAAAACGGGTACCATACTGATTACAAGTCAACACCCTAGATCATTGAGTCACAGCTACACACACAATGTAGTAGTCTGTTGCATATTCTTTCTTTGTGAAAGTACTCTGTTTGTAATTTGTTTTTGGGTTCTTAAAACTCTGCTAGTCTTATCCTGTATTTCTAGAACATTTAACTGCATTTGATCAAGTCAATCCACGGGATATATTTGTGAATAATGAAGTAAAACTGGGAAAAGTTCAAGTTTACGGGTTTGACTATGATTACACATTGGCTCATTATACCTCAGAATTGGACAAATTTATTTTCAATGAATCTCGTAACTTCCTCGTTGAACAAATGAAAGTCAGTCACCAGTTAATTATATTTTCTTTAAGAACAATATAGTCTCAAAAGTACTGCTTGTAAACACGCTCATGTTTGCTTGTCTATTTATTTGTTCGTTATGAGGTATTTGAATTTATTGGAAATTAATAATTTTGAGGCCTACCAACACTTTTCGTTCAAAAATTTCTAATCCCAAGCATAATTACAGCAATTTCTAAATTCACTCAGCAGATTCTAATTTGAAAGTATGTAGTTATTTTTCTTCATGAACTGATACCTGTGACGGTGTACACTGTTAAGCCGGTCCAGGATAAAATATGGGATCTCTGGCTACTAATAACTACGTCCTAATTTAGATACTGTTTCTAGTTCTTACTGTTGGTAGCACCCAACTTCAACCGATTAGTCTTATGGCTTTGTTGCAACAGAGTGCCATCGGTTTGGAACTAATTCCCACTCCTAATTTCATAGATAACTTTGTAGGGTTCGCCTTGAAGCAAGTCATTATTTAACACTGACTGTTGTCAATAGTTCTGTAGGTTTGTGACAGAAACGATCTGCAAATGATTGGTTCCCTATAAGTCACTACTAAAATATATAAATAAATCTTTGTATTAGTCTAAATTTTATAACTGATGTGTACTTTCCATCATGAAAAATGTGGGGAGAACACATTCACTACCACGCTTTTAAAGTACTGATACCTGAAAGTTTAAAATGTTATGAATAACATCTGCAGGACAATTGCACTCATTTACTGTCTCAGTTAGATAATCTGCAAGATAGGTCCCCTATACCGACGTTCATTGGAAGCACAAAAAACACTTAGTCGAGCGTTCTAAAAAGTTGTGCAGCTGACTTACTACAAAAGTAACTTTGACCACATTTTAGTTTTCTTCATGGCTTTTCAGCATCAGTGTGTTTAGCTAAATAGATGCTTGGAAGGAAATTCACTTACTGAAGTACTATAGAAACTTGATACAAACCGGTTATCCTTAACTCTTCAAGACTAGATGTGATTTTTTGTTTATAGAGCTGACTCCAGTATCCAACTAAACTTAAAAACCTACCAACTTCTTGTTCCACTATATCTAACAGCGTAAAAAATACAGAAGCATGTGTAAAAATCGTCGCCTTACAAGTTTTTCATCACTCATTATCGAAGTGTTTATTGACTTTATACTAAACAGGTTGTGGAAACACGAAAGAGGTGAACTCAAGAGCAGTAAACAAAGTTTCCTCTTGATTTTTTGTGTACAGATTGTTTATTCACTGCACAACACACTTGATGAAAACCGGCAATTATTACGTTTCCTGATACCAGGATTGCCTTTGATTCTGTGAACAATACCCTTTTATGGGACTGTTTATTACTCGTGAGGAACATGGTGAATATGTCTGCGATACTATGACTGATTTATTGGCCTGTCATTCAAGATATTCAATCACTAATCGCGAACATCCAGAGGATTCCAGTCAGATAACTTTCATGATTCATACCAACCGTCCTAGGTTTATGCTGTATTTAAATGTAATCATCCTTAGCTTTTTTCCAATTTAAACCTATTCCACTTAATGCCGAACTTTGCGACTATGATATTTTTCACTACATCATATTCTTTCTTTCTGAATAATTCGATTATTTGCACAGATGAGATAAGAGAATTCCCATTGTCCCACTTTAGCTCGGTTAGCAAGAATTACTCTTTGTTGGAGTGACTCTTAGGCATCTACGCCATTTACCAGTTAACTTTGTTACTCAGTAGTGTTTGTTCCCGTATTTTCTCAACATTTCAAAGCTAACTTATTTCGTGGTGATCTAAATACTGTGTTTACTTCAATAAACGTTTATTAGCCATCAAACTATGTCAGTAATAACTCGCCATCAATTCTTTGATGAAGTTTGAAGTAAGTGTAGTGATTTTGGCATAACTGTTTAGTTTTGTTTTCAAGCTGATATTTATCCCGGACTGACATCAGTTGGAGAACCACTTAAGACCTTGGAGCGCTAGACAGCTGTTTCGTCCTAGTATAGGACTCCAGCAGTGGGCATCCATGACGTTGCCAGGAATCACTTGTCATTGTTTATTCGAGTCATTTTCAGAAGCTGTGTATCCGTATTTAATGGTTGGAACGAGAAAACATGTCCTTCACCACAAAGTCATCAAAAATTGTTTACAAAATGGGGACTGAAAGGTCAGCGCAAGACCTGTTTCGGAATTTGTTAAAAACTGCTTCTAGAATTACAAGGTGACTGGGTAATCTGGGAAGTAATAAAAGTAAAAAAATTGACTCAATTATATTGAAATAAACAATTGCAGAGTAAAGAAATAGAATGAAAATAATAATTAGTGATGAATAGTGGTTAGCAGTGGAATCGACTACGCACGTTTCATCCTATTTGGGTCTTGTCAGTTAAATGTACCTGCCTCGTAGTGAATAAGTTGTTCCCACTAATGCTCGAAACCAAGACCGATCACTTCAAATGCCACAGCGTTACCCACTAGACCACCGAGTTACAGTAGACACTCCTTGTATGGTGGATATAGTATGGTTTTCTTGATGTTATAGCTTGTAAGTCTCCGTCGTTAACTGGACCGAATTGATTGGCCGCTAATGATGTTGATAAATAAAATAACAGAAGTCATAGAAAGACTATGACTAAGGTGAAATTAGAGGTTGGACTTACCTTTTTTGATCTCAGAGATCAGGTTTGCCAAGGCTTTTACTATGCTCAGATAATGAGTCTGCACTTCCTCCGAAATGGTTGATTTTACTTCATAAATGACTTTGAGGGGAGATTCTGATGGAGCAGATTTAACCAGGTGACGGTTAGTCGATTTGCACTGTTCAGACAATCATGAAAAATAGTATTTAGAGATGCGTGTGGATATAACATGTTTTTACGGCCTACGTATCCATCACACATTCTAGAACAAACCTTTCAGCCGTCATCTTGGAAACAATTTTAGATGACTTTATGTTGAAGGACATATTTCCTCTTGTAACTATAAGTACATGTTTACAGCTTCTGAAAATGATTCTTCAAAAAGAAAATTTTCTCCTGTTAGTTTTTAAAAGTTCTATTCTAAACAAATCGTAAATTTTGTTCTTTTCGGTTTCTGCGTATAAACTACTTCCAAAATGGCATGTTTAACATTTGAAGTATCCTGAGGAGATTTTGGATTTTGAATACGCTGAATTCGCTAGACGCGGTCTACATTTCGACGTAAAAAGGGTAGGTTTGGTCACTGTTGATGAATGCAAGAAAAATTCTTAGTTGACGTACCGATTACTTTCATATAATGTAAATGGTTACAAGATAACGATAATGGACAATATCGCGGTCTCGGAAGACACCGTACCGTTCATTACTACATCGGTGTGGCGACCGTATTGAGCTAATTAACTTGGTTGGGCCAAACAGTTATTATTGTCATTTTTTTTCCAATTCATTTTGTATGTCACCTGGTTCCCTTCTATTCTGTGTAATGAATTTCTAATTTTAAACATGGATACTTAAGGCGAGTTAGGAACATATGCGAAGCAAATGAAATATTTTGTTTTGCTTTTACTTCAAGCAAGTACATAACGCTAATCAAAGCTCTCTACTCAAACTCACGCAGCCATGTAAGAGCATATGGAGAGTTTTCATCTGAATTGACAACAACTAGTGGTGCTCGTCAGGGATTTCTGCTGTCACCGTTCCTATTTAATTTCTTTGAGTATGCACAAATGGACATAACCTTAGATGCCTCTGACTTCATGGAGATTTACCTACTCTATGAAGGGTATCTTGTTGACTTTGAGTACTTAGAAGATATTATCTTGTTAGGTGAAGACACTGGTAAAATACAGGTTTTTTTGAACGCCTTGAGCAGAAATTTGAGCTTTTGACATGCGCTTCGAACCTTTCCAGTGTAAGATGATACTTCAGGAATGGTCTGCAACTACTCCAAGTCTAAGGAGAGAGAGAAGTGGCTGAGTGTATCGACCACTTCATCTCACTAACATAGGGAGTTGCATCAGTCCAGAGGGACTGGTTGCTGACGAAATCCAAGCTAGGATACAGAATGCCTATTTGACATTTGCCAACTTGCGTCACCTCTGGCGCTGAATGGTGAGATATCCGACTACACACCAAAGGATGAAGACACTGTGCTGCAGTTCGTTTTGTCCTATTATACGGTTATGAGACATGGCTGTTAAAATCAGAATGTATGAAGAGATCGCAAGTTTTTGACCATATGTCTTCGTAGCGTTGCTCGTGTATGCTGGAGTCACCATGTGAAGAATGTTGAGGTTCAGCGAAAGGTTGTGAGCACGGAGGGACAAGTCGTTCGGTGAGGTTGTGAACCTTCATCGACTGAGGTGGCTTGGACATGTGTTGCATGTGCCAAGCCATCAGCTGCGTTGACATGCAACGCTAGGAGGCCTAGTGTGGCCAGACTAAGAAGTGGCACCAGTGCATGAAGTCTCTGACTGTTGATCCGAACCGTGTCGGGAGGTGTAGACTACGTTGTTGGGGTTCTCGAGTTGTTAGGAGTCACTGATTGAAAGCTTCGGTGATATGGATGAATACCGGCTGCAATGGTGTGGATGTTTGACAGTAGTGATTAGATAAATAGCTTTTGATTGAGTCTTCTGTCAGTAATACGTTTACTTGGAACATCCCAAGCCAGTCTCGATATTGAGCTGCTTAAGCTGATATACATGAGGTGGTCTAATCAGTATGTTTATATTCACATGGCACTTGGTACTGCTTCATATGCTTCAGGTAGCCTTGTCTTATATCATCACAGTGAGATGTAAAACAGCAAGACGAGAGACAAAAGATATTACCAAAAAATGTGGGATACAAAAGGTGGGTATTAAAATAAATAACGAAATATGATATATCAACCAGGATGATGATAAAATGTGGATACATCTGTGCCACTGAGATTCTAACCTTTAGTTTTAGTTGTTATGTAGATCCGAACCCACAAGTCTATATTTTCTGCACACGTTTCGGACTAACAGTCAGACGCTTTGTGAACCGATAACACATTTCATTCTGGTCACCGTTATCTTTTTTCCACCCTGAAATAATGTACTAATTTATCTATGGTAATCTTGGGGTGAAAAATCTATTTATTCATAATTGTAGTAGTCAAATTATCTATATTTCTCTTGAGTGGAAATAAACTCGTAATAATCATAAATATATTGTTATTTGCTGATACTTGTAATTCCCCATTGTTATACTGGATATAGTTGTTCGACCTCTGTTGGCACAGGGACTCATTCGGGTATCCCAACATTGCGTGAATATTTATTATGCTATAATTTAATGGATTCCACTGTAAGTCAACGCCAAGTAAATTATAAAATCATGAATGTATCTGGTTAAAAATACAGTAAACTCAGGTTTCTGCTATGTGAATAACAAAATCAGTTGACTTTGATACTTAATGGAAACAGTAAGAAAAGGGAGTTCACATGAAAAGAAAATTTTCACTAGTGACCATTATTTAAAAATAACTCTAGAACACTGAATGACTGTTTACGACTCTACAATAATTTACAATCTACTTCCATCAGAACAGAATTATGAATACCAATATGCTTCTACAGTGTAGCCGTGGTTCATTTATTTAGGGAAAGGACTTTCAACCTATAGGTTTCGGGTTAGAACCCAACTTCATCTACTGAGGTTTGGGCAGGTAAGTAATATCATTAGTACCCCTCACACAAGAGATGTGGCTCACTGCTTACTGCACGACTGTGCATAAAGCAACTGAGTGCATTTCGCCTCCCTTTGATATACTTCTACAATATTTTCTAATTTCGGTCAGTGTCATTCAATTGGCATACCATGTCGTCAAGATGGATGATAATACACCTTAGTTACCAGTGGATGAAAAACATCTTCAAATTAATCCGGTCTTCAAGCCCACCAACCCCAATATTTCTAAGATGTTTTCATTTTTATTGTTTGTTACTCATTACACTGTCGTAAAAATCATACAAAATTTGTGATTTAATTGGCTATAAATTCATTTCACATTCATTCTTTTTTTAAGCCAGGTAATTGAAAGAACTCATAAGTTAGTTTACTGTCTAGGCTCTTCCAGAAACAAGGTGATTTTAACACCCAGTGTTTTTCTAGTGGGTAAATCGAGAGTTTACACCTTTTATTATATTAAAAGTAGCAAAACAAATTTTTTAAGCTAAAATAATGCACCATTAGTCATACGCAATTCAAACTGAATAAGATACAAGTCAAACTTTACGTACACATTGGACGGATGTAAATACCATCAACTCACCGGATTAATAGGACAAAAATGCTTACTATGCATCAGTAATACCGAAATAACAAAATACAACACCTCCGATTTTGGTCTGTTCATCAGAAATGTCACAGTGAAGCAGTATCACTTACTCGATAAGGTTCGAACATCATTTATCGTCCATATTCATATCGTGTAACTCCATAACTTTGAGACAGTTTATAAACTTCATTTTATAGGATGAATTTTTACTTGTGTAATCCCGGCGTAGTATATTAGAACAAATAACAAAATAAACAAATATTTTGTATTACTTTGTTATTTGTTCTAATATACTACGCCGGGATTACACAAGTAAAAATACATCCTATACAATGAATCATACTAACTCGGTGCCCAAGTTTTTTCAAACCATCCAGTCCATTGTTGGCCAGGATACCCTCAAAGTTTATAAACTGTCCTCATCCAGCAAGTGATACTGTTTCCCTGTGTGACCTTTCTAGTAAACAGACTAAAATGGAATAACAATCTACCACAGTGCCCAAGTTTTACTTCTATATTAACAACATCGAGTATTCATTGTGTTATTGTCTAGTGAAAAGTGATATATAGTGATGACCAGACATTCATACAACAGTCCAATATAATTTTTGAAATAAGACTGAGATTCGACTAGTGATCAGATCTCTTAAATGAACCGGTTGTTAACCTAGAGTCTACTAGTTCAAATCTAGTTTCAACATAGGTTTTGTTTGATCGGTAGTTCACTGTTTCAAAGCTACTTGACCTATATTTCCCATTTGAATATTTTTTATTGCATTCAATAGTATGAATCTACTTATATCACGATTTCCAGAAATGGTCTATTTGTATACAGTTATGTTCACTAGAATATTTACTATCCTTTGTAGGGGCTGCTGATGAAAGTTGATGCCTTTCACCATATTCAACTGGACACGGTTCATCGTGGCTTTACACTTCTGTCGTTTGATGAAATATTACATGTTTATCGTGGAAGTCATTTGGCCAGTGATATTTTGAAGCAGAAAATCACCCCCAGTGTAAGCTTTTTTGGTTTACTTATTATGGTGGGTATGTGATACTTGTTTTCACCAGCCTTTAAGAGATTTTGGAGCTTAGACATACCTATCAAGGCTTGGTTATGGCTTTGTTTCTTGGTCTAAAGAAGGCCTTTAAATCCGTCAATCGAGAGGTTTTGTGGGATTATATGGGTTGTAAAGAGAGTACCGAGTGAGCATATTATACCAATCAGTGATCTCTACTGGAACTGGTGCAGCCGTGTAATAGTTTACTGATATTTGTCGTATAAGGTAACGAAAAAGAGTAGTACCCGACAGTGACATATGTTACCACCAATACTACTTACCTTTGATGCAAACGTGCTGATGTTTATAACCCTAAGCACATCCTACTTCTAATGGTTTGATTTATTATCTGCAGATCATCTGGTCGATATGTAGTGCACAGATGACGCAGTTGTGGCAGGTGAAGACACCGAGCAATGAGCAGTATTCCGAACGCCTTAAGTGAAAATCTGGATATGTTTGGCCTGTGTTTTTTCACCTAACAAATGTAAACTAGTGCTTCAAAAATGATGTACATTGACCCCGTAACCTGAGGATAAAAGAATGAAGTAGTGGAATGCGCTGAACATTTCTCTTTTGGAATTCGCACCAATCCTGTTAGTCGTGATAACGAAATCTCAACTCAGGAACAAAACGTCTGTTCAACATTCTTCCCCTTATCCTATCTATGCAGTCAGCAAGATATCAGATAGCCTAGTAAAGAATGAGTATGCAGCACAACTATCCACCCTGTCCTATCATACAGTAATGAAACATAGATGTTGAAAGTGTGAAGAAGCACTAGATGTCTGATCATAAGTTTCTCTGTGGCATTTCAAGCATATTACGTAACTATCATGTGACGAATTTTGGAATTAGGTGTAGAGTGTTAGGTAAAAAAGGTAATTCGGTCGATGAAGTTGTGAACCTTCTTGCAAACCATTTTAAAAGATGAACACAACTATGATCTGCTTTTCAATATATGAAGTATTTTCACTATGCTCTACCTTCTTAAATTCTGTACTAACTTCCTTGGCTACAGTTTCTTCTCAAGCCTTAAGAAGAACGAGTATGTTGCCATACGGCGTTTTGGTTCTTGAAGTGCCTTATGGATATATAATTCGTTGCGTGGGTCAGTGTTAACTGACCACTGGACACGCGAACTTGAAGTTGCCTGAGCAGTAGGATCTCCAGCTTCCTGCGTTTCAGACATCTTTGGAGGTTGATGCTGGCTGGGACTGGGTTATGATCTACTCAAAGCTTAAGAAGACAGTCTGTGCTACCCCACCTGTAGCCAGTTTATTGTAACTGACCACCTGAGCGACTTCCTTCTGAGCGTATGCACCTTCCCAAACCATTCTAATTCTCAACTGTAATTGAGATGTGTGTCAAGCGCACCTGATTGAAAAGAATATTCAGTTGATGTAAGGACTTATCTTCAGCTTCGGTCCATCAGAACGTAGGTAAAAATGATAAATAGACAATGTTGTTTCTCTTCCCAGTTTCCTCTTTTTCTAACTGTGAATTATAATTTGTAAACATTGAGACGAAGACACCATATATGTGAATAAACGGGTCACATTTGCATGTCTGATTTACTTTTAGCCAAATATATCTTTGCGATAAGTGAATAGACCATCTTAATCTTATTGATTAGTGACAGTGTTTATCCCTGTACTCTGTATGTTTGTAATAACAGTAATCTGGATTCAGTGCACCGTGTGAGTATGACGAATCTGAATTTTGGGATCTCGTTTTTTACTCCTACATGATTTTGAATTACAAGCTATAGCTAGCACACAAAATAACTCATAATTCGATTTCAAAAACAGCATATGAACCCTTCTGTCTCTAGCGGCAAACACAACTGTTAATGTGAGATCTGGTTGACTAGTTCAACTTCGGCTATAGCATTCAGTGCGACGCCGATATCAGGAAAACGCCAAGCTGATGCCACAGGGTCCTGGAATAAACGTACGACTAACACCTTTCGAACTGACAGGTGGAGAGGCTATTGAAAGCATTTAACTGCCATCTTGTGTCCAGGTCTTTTTGGAGTTATAGCTCACTAATTTAGGGAGATGACTTTTAGCCGGCTGGTCTCGGGTTCGAACACCGCTGCATCAACTAAGGTTTGGGCGACTGAGTAGTACCATCAGCCTTCAAACAGTAGGTGAGGTTCATCCCCTACTGCACAAATGTGCATGAGGTAGCTGAGTGGATTCTTCAATCTAGGCCTTTGAGATACAACATGCATCAATGATGACGTCACAAGTCTCTTTGTTGTTTGATTTGCATCAAGACCCAAACGTTGAAGGTAGCTAACTTGAACAGTACGCATTGTTCTAGAAAAGCTGTCTGAAGTTTCCATTCTAAGTGCTGTCCCATTGTCTTTATGAGGTCTCCGTTACTTCCCGTACACACTGAGTGAAGTAAGATGTCTTGAGGGACTACTACCGTGGCAACTGAGTCGTGAGGTGCTGCATTTTCTTGGCCATCAGTGAACACAACAGGTTAGTGCATCATTTGTGTGTTTTGAGTCCTCAAGCACATATGTATAATCGGTTTGGAGTCAGTTTTTTCCAACTGCCGTAAATGGATCCTCCTTGTTCACCAAGCTTGTGCCAGAAATTCGCTTTCATCCTCTCACTTCTTTGAAAACATTCCTACCACCTGAAGATAGAGAAGTAGGGCTTCCCTGACAAAGGCCCTGTGAGAACATTGTTGGAGGACGTGCGGGATCATCTCACCCTCGTCCGTACCAGGGCATTCTGTAGCTATTTATAAAGATATAACATTCCTGTTTTCTGGTTTCTTTTCTTGTTAAAATCGAAGCAACTGAAAGAATTAGAAATAGACACACGAAAAGTTAAGCTTTTTAAAATGTAAGGTAACTCTCTACTCAATGCTTAACAATAATCACTTTCGTTACAGAAAGTTTTGATCAACCTGAAGTTCGGTTGAGGTAATATTTTGTTTAGCATCCTAACTCTCATTCCTCACATGTATGGTTGCGTTAAATATCTATGCCGGTTAACATGGTCAAGTACTTAGGATTATGCAAATTTTGTGCATTAAGTTGACTGAGACAAGTTTAATGATTTTAAGAATTGAGTATAAAAGACAAGAAATTTTAAGTCGTAACTTATTGATACATTAGTGGCGCTCACAAAAATGTGTTTCGTAGTAAAAACTGAAGAGGACTTCATAGTATATTCTTTGTGTAGATTCCAGTCTGTGAGCGACCGGTCACCATAAGGCACTATGTTTCCTATCTGACGGCTCACAAATGTCATCAGTTGTGTTTCCCGATTATCAACATAAATCTCTGGAGTGTATCTTTATCATAGGAACTGGTATGCTATTCGATATTCCAAAGTGCTTTTTTTAAGTTAAACATATTTAGGTGTTGCTATCAAGTTAATTGGACTGTGTAGCGATTTACAGTTTAATAAATCTCTGAAAAACACCTGCCACGAATTTTCTGTGATGAGTTGATTGATATTCTCAGCTTGTAGGTTTGATGAAGATCCCATTGATTAGTACATCACGTACTTATCATGTGGATAAATCACCGACATCTCTGTCTGATTAAACTAATTATCTCTAATTGTTCACCACATATGATGTCAGAAGTGCTCCATTGAAATCTTGTCGGTAATTTCTGTATTGACTTCAGTGACTAATATTATCATATTCTGGTATGTAGGACTACATACGCCTTTTTATTGGACCGTATAAATTGTTTACCTTGCCTGAATTTTGTGAGCTATCGTTTTCGTTCGTTTGTCTGAGATCTGAGTTATTTATGAAAACAAATACTATATTTTAGAACCGTGTTCATTTTACGAGAATCTGATTATGCGAGCTCTAATTATTATACCTCGCAAATCTTAGACGTGATCCCTAATTGTATAGCAAAGTCAGCACATTTTCATTCCTGTGATTACTGTTGAATAGATGTTCTCACAGGCTTATGTGTTACTCACTTTTTTGAAACCCTAATTGAGGTTCCTAGCTAATGCCTTCATCCGTCGCAGTTAAGTCTAACTAGTTTTACATTTTCAGGAGTTATTAAAAAATAGGGTAATTTTTAGTATGTCACAGCTTAATGGGACGTTTATTTAATCTAGTTGCGAACACTTCAGAAATCTGTATTCAGTACTAATCATAACAGTAGTGTGCTCATTTGGGATTGTATTTTTCGGTATAGTTATGAATTCTCAGAGTATAATAAAATAATGCAAGGAATTTATCCCATGTACAACATATTCATATAAATTAATTATCATTTTGACTATCGGAGATAGCTGCGGTTTGGCAGAATTGTATTATTGATACTGAGTGATGATTGAAGGTGAAATGAAAATTTGGTCCGCGGTAAAATTCGAACCAGCGACCTCGAGGTTTCCGGTCCGGTGCTCTGCCAACTGAACTACTGGGCCTATATACATATAAGTTAGTGAGAATCAAAACCGTGATATGCAAATGATAGCAATGGCGAAACGACAACTTATTTGCTATCGCAAACTTGGTCATTGAATTCTGCTGCAAAGTTTTCACCCCGTAAGATGCGTGCTAGATAGTGTCTGGTTGAGTTTTCATATTCAACCATATGAGCATAGAGTCTTGGGGATTTGCTTGTTGTCGTATCGGAGGGTAGGCAGGAAGAAAGTTGTTAAGAAATTAAATGCTCAGCATCTGATTAAGCAAATGTAGTTAGTCTGCCATTGATTAAGGCTCAACTATCCTAGTTAGCAGTCTTTAAGTTCCTATATGATACGATGTAGTCTGTTCTCAGTAATCGATGAAAAAACAAAGAGAACCTAAATGTAGTGGGCAAAACACGGATTGTTTAGTTTCAAAAGATGACGTTAAGTTATGCCCAACACAGCTTCTTTATATTATATGGTAGGTTTCTCGGAATTAACTAGACATCGGAGGGAGCACCAGAGTTCAAATGAGCTAAGTAGTGTTCGATATATTGCATTCAAAAACATTACAGTAAAATCAAACTGATTTCTGCAAGTCTTATTCTTGTCTTAGGTTAAAATCAAAAGTTTGACATTTAGAGCTATTAAACTGAAGATCCCTTGAAAGGCACCATTGTTCAATTTTAGTTAGTAAAATTCGTTTTAAAACAGTTTGTTCGGAAATGATTACCATGATTACTGTCAGATTAGTTAGTGCAAAATATGGCAGGGCGTATCAGAAAAGGAGAAGACGGTTCACTGAAGCTCAAATTTTTAGTAGGTATTGAAGTGAAATGTTATGCTTGACAGTATACTGCCTCCCTTTAGATATGTATGAATACAGCCTGTTCTTAATCCAAGTATCAGCATGTTGCATAAACAACTTAATAAATATGCATCCAGGTACCGATAACAGTGTGATCTAAAAGGACACATCAAATATACTTGATATATTTATATGTTGTAACAGCAACACCAAACACCGGTTGCATGAAGACACCTTTAAGTGTGTTTATTGTAAGCAAGCTAATTAGGATCACTAAAACTCTTTAGTGAGGGCTGGAACATAAGTAATAATTATAATTGATCTAAGTTTTATTCAGAAGTTAAGTACTCAAGTAACAGGACTATTTTAATTTTTAACCTGTTAGTAAAAACTACATTTCTGGGTGGTCCATAAAATGAATATGTAACTCGACAAAATAAGTAGTTAGAAATCACTGATTTTGAGATCTGACTAAATAGGCCACTTTTTTTTATAAAGCCGATTTGTCCGAATCAACTGGATCTGGCTAACTAACAGAGCATACTATCAGATGAATGGTCAACTTGCCTATTATTCATAGACCGCGTAGTCTACATCAAGATCTATCGGTTCAGCAAACATGTTGGCTAACAAACGATTTAAAATATTAGCTCTTTTTCTAAATACAATGATTGATATGTTATCAGGTCCCAAGCTTTAAGATAAGTCCATTAGTATGAGGTACTTGAAAATATCTTTCTCAATAAATCTATAGCACTGAAAAAATGTGTCACACAAATGATTGGTGTAATGTACATATATCAGAATAGGTTTCATTACTTTACTCTTTCCGGTTAGTAAGTCCCTTAAATAATTACCATATACTGGGAGAGTTGTTACGTAATAAAAGCTTTTGGTTAATTATGAAACCTAATCGTGTTATTTTAGCTTTTACCATCTAGCTGATTCACTAAACACCAAAATTGCCATCCACTTAATTTAACCTTTTTTCTCTTCGCTTTAAGAGAAGGAAGTCAGATTTCAGGATGTGTTTCACTTAGGCAGCAAGTGTCAAGATAAAATTTGAGGTAGGATGAAAAACTATTATTCAGAAATATATCCCAGTTTTTGCCTTGAAACGTACTTTCCAACATGAGCACGTAAATTTGTGAGTAGATTTTGCGCTTATTTTTCTTTGGCTTGTAGTATGCTGTATAGTTTAGGCGTAACACTACTCAGTTATCCAAGTTGAGTGGTGGCGCTCTTTGGCCACTTTTACACATTCCGAAATCATTAATTGAAAGTTAAGGTCTAGAGTAGAATTCAGACAAGTTTTAAGATTAATATATTCGTGAAACTTGGGCACTGCAGTAAAATGTAGTTCCGCAACAGACCGTTTGTTTGATAAAAGTACACAGTGATACATTATTACTTAGTGACGTTATGTGCATAATTTATTGCTCGTAATGATATCACATCACTTTGATACGAATATGAGCAATGATTTATGCTCGTAAATAATACTCTATCACTGTGTGCAACATCAGACAAATAAATCTACTATTGAGTTTTGGGATAAACAAGTTTCGTGTGACAGAAAGCTGGTTATAAAAATGTACATATCTCTAGATTTCTGACAGAAAACAATCCGGTATGAAAACAGAGAATCCCGTGAATCTATTTGTTAAAGTAATTGCAGCCAGTGGTGTGACGAAAATTTTTTTGATTTAAGTAAAGCCATATATCTTGAAGTGTCCTGCATCGTACGTCGCTGTAATACAATGAATTAACAAAACTGAAACACACCATCTGAAGTATATTTCTGGTTATTGATGTTGGTGGCTACATATTCACTTCACTTTGAGGAGGTAGAGGAATCCTGAGCAAACACTTTAAAGTGATCAAACTGTCGTTATTCAGTCAGTTTTCGTGTGAAGTAACTACACCGGTAGTAGAATAAACATTGCAACTCAAGGGAAATTGAAGATAGTGCACCTTTCTCGAAAAAGACCTATAGTTTCGGCTTCACTTTAGAGACATCTATTAAATGTGTTATTCGCTCTAAAATACGCTGGATTCAGCCATACTTTAAAAGCAATTTTATGGTCTTAAAATTAACAAAAGGTGGTGTTCAAAAGTTAGGGATAATAAATGACTTCACATGTAAGAAAGATCTGCATTTATAATTTGCAATTTTCCCTGAAGAAACTCGGGCCAGACTTCTGTGCGAAACGTTGGAATTATTTCATTTCAAAAACATACCCTGATTTGGACAAATACAAACCATAATTTCATAATGTACTTATTTTTTTTAAAATGTGTAGTATTAAATTCCGAACTGTCGTTTATTTACTGTTATCTACGTACTTTAGGATACTGTTATGCTTCAGTTAATGGATTTTTTTCGATTACCAGAAGTTAATCTTCTTTGTTCCATCATAGCTGTAAGTTATTATAGTGATAATATGTTGTACAATTTGTCAGTTATTCGATTGAGATATTCATGTGATAACTATATAGTCTGAAGGTTCTCATATGAGTAGAGATCGAGTGTACGACTGGTAGATTTGCAGTACTACGAACGAAAACTGTCGCTGCAATTATTCAATTACTTTGATTGTCTCTTCTGATTAATTCATCGCACATAATATAAAATATTAAGCATAATATAGAAGCGAAAGAAATGAGTGAAAGATTCGAATCCGAGAAAAGTGATTAAGATGGCCTAACTAATTAAGTAGTACAAAAAAGTTGGGCAAAGCTGAGTAATGTACTCAGTAAGTTTATATACAAAAACGATTTTCAGATGACGGCTTATGGCTAATTCTGCTATGCATAGATGCTGTGAGCAAAATGAGCTATAAATCGATGTTGGTTGACTAGAGGTATTCAAAAGAAAACCTTTGCTCAGGTCTTTGAGTTTATCAGCTTTTATCAGCGAGTGATATCTAGACTTGAACGGATTGATTAAAACTGTATCAGAAACAATAAACCGTAGCATCCAGTGCTGCAGTCACTGATGTTACCAGTGAAGCACTCAAACTGTAATTAACCTTTTAGAATAGATTGTGTGCATAACTTCCACTTAATTACTTAATTAAAGTTAACAGAAAATGATCCGTAGTTCACAACATTTATCAGAGCTATCATAGTTACTTTCGATAAGACATAACAGCTGTGATTTCGATGGTATTATGATAATTATTAGAAGGCTTCATGACATGGTGTTAAGTTTCGCCAACATCTCATAACGTTTAGTTACATTTATTTGTCTTACGATTGTTGTTTCAAATATGAAACCTAGCCATTATCCTATTTGAGCTGTGATTCCACTTCTTTATGTTCGGTAACGTTGCTTAAAAGATGACGAATTCACAACTAACTACAGTAAAGAAAATCGTAAAGGTGATTTTGGGGAGATTTCCTAGGCTTAAATTTATAAATGCTGGTCGTGTAGCAGGTAAAGTAGGCATTGTCTCGTATAGAGTAAGCTATCAATCACAAGTGTTGTATGAGGGCTTATGATACCAGGTGCCCGTTTCTCGATAGATGGCGTGGAGTCAAAATTAGTGGCTCTCATCGTAAGCCAGTTGTCCAATTTAATGAGAAACAGATTCTTTGCGTGAGTATATATCGCCTAGCGGTGTTAGTATTCCAATAAGTGCAACTTGCAATATCAAAAACATTATAGGATAATCCGTGATTAGACATTGCACGATCCAAATAAAAACGTAGGTACCAATATGGTCTAAATTTTATTGGATTGTAGGGTAGCGTGACGTTTTCGGTTATTAGTGTGTTCATGAAGCATTTTATATAGACCTTTCTTCCTACATGAATTTGTGCACCTTTTCAAGACTATTCACTGAATAAATGCTTTACATCAGTTCATCTGTCGAAAGATAGTGATGTGATTCGGAAGTATTCCTTATGCAGATAACCCAGGCTCCTTCTTTCCAAAACATTTCGATGCGATTATCTATCAATTTTGAAGTTGTGCACTCAAGACTAATTTGTCCTGTATAAGTAGGGTAGCCGTTTCAACTTAGAATTAAGACTTTTTGCATTTTTTTTGACTCAATTTCATCTGTTCGAACAGCTAATTATTGTCACACTTCCAAGAGATTAAATGGTTTGATTTTCCTTTATAGTTTTTTGATCGACGTGGAATAAATTACAAACCCATTTATGTGTATCAAGATGTCTCTGTAAGTGCGATTATTTACTGCTAATAATTTTTTGTTTGTTTTAAATCTAAAACTTCTTTCTCAAAGTTCATCTCGTCAAACTGTAGAACTAGCAAGCATCCAGTTGCAGGAACATGATAATAAAATTAAAAATCCTCTGAAAATCTTAGTCAAAAACAAGATCCTTTTGCTGAAACCTTGTCTCTGCCATATGCTCAGTGATATTTAAGAATTCAAAGCAATTGATCTCTTTGATAAATTAAAACACGTGATGTATCAGCGTTATACATTTCGAACAATCTCATCACACATAGACTTGTCGGAGTATCTATACGAAAATTTACGAAAAGGGTCAATTAAGTCAATAGGAAACATGAGAATAGGAAGGGGAGAGAAAAACCGAAATCTAAATCATATCACTCTTGGTATGAAAATTAAAGTCAATATTACTAAGGTAGTGGTTAATAAACATGCTGTGATTATATTAAAACTTACATATAGTAACTCCTTCAAATAATTATGTCGAATTACAGGTTTTGGTACTGGCTGAATAAGCTACCACCACCACCAAAATTACGTTCGATATTCTAGGCATTCACCAGTTCAAACCAGACGTTTGTGTAATACCAGGTGCCTGTTTCACATTGTGCCTCTTACTACCGTTGTTATTATTAACATTATTCAACTGCAATGATTATTTTGCTGAAAGATACTGTCCAGGGAATGAATTTGTTGAACTATTCCATGCTGAGAATTCCATACTACACCATACGTGTTGTTTGGAATAAGGCATTTTTCTCTATTATTGATATTGTTACTTTTATTATTACTATTCTTACTGTTTGAAGTTTCTTTAGCGGTTAGATTTGTTTTACGGGGTAGGGTTGCTAGCCCTCTGTCCAACCATCCCTCTTTACCCGGCTTAGGACCGGCTAGTAACTAGTGAACTAGTTAACCAGGATCATGACAGCAAGATTCAACTCAAAAGGAAGGAAAGTCACAATCATTCAATGATACGCTACGCACCTACAAATGATGCAGATCAAGAGAAGAAGGAGGAATCCTATAGACAACTGCAATCAGTGATAGACAAGACTCCAGTTGGCGATATCAAAATTCTAATGGGCGACATGAATGCCAAACTGGGAGCAGACAACACAGGAAGAGAACTAACCATAGGTCGAGAAGCACTCATTGAAATGAACAAGAATGGAGAATTGTTTGCAGAATTCTGTGCATTCAACGATTTGGTGATTAGAGGCAGTGTGTTCCAGCATAAGGATATCCAAAAAGCGACATGGATTTCACCAGACACCAGGACACACTAAGAATCAAATCGATTTTATCTCAATCTCAAGAAAATGGAGACGCAGTCAGCCTACTTGACACAAGGTCAAGAAGAGGAGCAGATGTAGGTTCAGACCACCATCTAGTGCAAGGAACCTACCTTCAAAATCAAGTTGAAAGCCTTCAAGGAAGCTGATGATAGACCACAGTTCAAGTTCAACACCCAGAACGGAAACTGAAGGACAAAACTAAAAAGGACATCTTCACGTCAGTCAGTCATCAGGAAAAAAGTGGGAGACATTGAACAACATCCCTGAAGGAACCTGCATGAAAGAACACTGGAACTCCTTGGAAGCTATGTGGAAATAAACCTACATAACCATATTAGGAAGGAAGAAGAAAGAAGTCAGGACAAGAAATGGATCTCGACGGACACATGGAAGCTGACAGAGGAGAAGAGGATGGTGAAGCAGAAGATAAACCAGTGCAAGGTTGCACAATGAGAAGAGGAACTGAGTACAACGTATAAAACACTACACTGAACAAAGAAGTGAAGAAGAGTGTGTGCAAAGACAAAAGACACTTCTACGACACATTGGCAAGTCAAGCAGAACAGGCTGCAGGTAGGAGAGACAGAGACCTGACAACATTGTATCAAATAACCAGGTTACTATCTGGGAAGAGATCAAAACACATGAAACCAATAAAAGACGACGACGAAAATTTAATTACCAAAGAAGAGAAACAAAGGAAACGATGGGCCGACCACTTCAAAAAGCTCTTGAATCGACCACCACCTGCACTTCGTCCAGAAATACCACCTGCAGCCCAGTCACAGAACTACAAGTGAACACAAATCCTCCAACAAAAATGGAAGTCCTGAGCGCCATAAAGCTACTGAAATGCGGGAAAGCAGCAGGACCAGATAGAATTCCGCCAGAAGAACTGGAAACGGACGCAGAGACAACAGCAGACATGCTCACACCACTACTGCAGAAGGTTTGAAAGGAGGAAAAAATACCTGCAGATTGGAAGAAGGGCTACCTTGTCAAAGTCCCAAAGAAGGGAGACCTAAGTCTTTGCGAGAACTAGCGCGGAATCACGCTCCTGTCCACTCCAAGCAAAATATTAAGCCGCATCACCCTGGAGAGACTAAACGGTGCGCTGGATTCAAAATTACAACCCGAACAGGCTGGAAGTACAAATCATGTGCGGACCAAATTGCAACGCTTCGCATCATCATAGAACAGAGCATAGAATGGCAGTCAACTCTACACCTCAACTTCATCGACTTTGAGATGGCCTTTGACAGCGTCGACCGAGAGGTAATTTGGAAACTGCTTCAACACTACGGAGTGCCCACTAATCTTTATCAACCTCATTCAACAACTATATGAAGACGCCACATGCCAAGTAATTCACAATGGGAAGCTCAGTGATGCTTTTGAAGTGAAGACAGGAGTGAAACAAGGTTGCCTACTATCCCCCATGATATTCCTGATTGTGGTCGACTGGATCATGCAGCGAACAGTGAGGAGCGAGAAGAGGGGGATGCGCTGGACTGCGGAAAAGAACCTAGAAGATCTGGATTTCGCCAACGATGACTTGTGCCTGATGTCACACAAACTTGAAGATCTACAGGCGAAAACTAACAAGTTGGCAGAAGAGGCAGCGAGGGAAGACGGGACTTCAGGTGAATATAGAGAAGACAGAAGTGATGAAGATACCGCACCAACAACTTCAACAACAACAAACTCCAATCACCATCAACGGGAGAAACTTAAAGGAAGTAACCTCCTTCACCTATCTAGGAAGCACTGTTTCAACTACAGGCGGCGGCACAGACGAGGATGTCAAAGTCAGAATCGGAAAAGCAAGACAGGCTTTCATTAATCGGAAATTAGCGTGGAGATCTTCTGCACTCAGCATGTGGAACAAGATCCGGATTTTCAACACCAATCCAGTCAAGTCAGTGCTTCTGTATGGTTCAGAGACTTGGCACGTTATGAAATGGATTTCCAATAAACTACAGACATTCATCAACAACTGCTTACACTGGCTCGCTACTGAAGATCAGATGACCAGAAAGAATAAGCAACAAGGAGCTCTGGAAACGAACCAACCAAGAACCTATCACGCAACAAATATGCACTGGGAGGAAGTGGAGATGGATTGGGCATACACTGAGAAGGCCGACTGGGGACATCACGCGTCAGGCCAGGCCCTCGAGTGGAATCCCCATGGGAAGCGACGAATCGGACGTCCGAGGGTGACATGGAGGAGGTCGTGCGAGGAGGAAATGAGAGCTTCTGGGCTGTCGTGAAACCAGGTTCAAAAGATCTCAGAGAACAGAGTTCACTGGAGACGTGCTACTGAAGCCCTATGTTTCATTAGGAACCCAAGGGACTAATAATAATCATAATTCTTACTGTTATTATTGTTGTCAAGAAATATAGCAGTAGTGTATTATTGTGGCTGGGTGTCCTCTGAACTTTGAGAACACGAAACTGCCATCATCATCGTGAGCCGAAATCTTATCCATCAGTTGGACGTATGATAAAACTATGGAGATAAACCACGCAAACTTATGGATCTATGTAGACTGATAACTTTAGTACACCATGATATAACAACTGATTGAGTTATGTGTTCACGCCAAATATAGTGTTTTAAATAAAGAAAATAGATTCGTCGTTGAGATTATATTTTGCGTCTTTTGACATCTATGTGTATCAAAAATTTGTTTCTTTAAAGCATAAAAATAGAAAAGTAGTCCAATTACATCATTTCTAGCGGTCGACCTTTTGGGTGAATGTGATGTTAAGATACAGTGCAAGTTCATAAGGTTCGTAATTTTTGAGTGCATCTTGTGAACGACATTTTCATTTTTTTGATCAAACATAGTCTATGATTTCACTGGAGTTGACACTTCTCGTATCTTCATTTGATTTTTTAGGTGTCTGTTGCACGATTACATAAATCTGGTCTTCTCGGTCAAACAGTCATGTCTGATCCAGGTAGACAATTTCTTTTATGTAAATACTCATTTTATTCATAATTACTTGTTATTTAGCAAAACAATTAATTTTTTGTAAATTAGGGTTGTTTCGGATACCTAATCGTTCTCAGAATAGTGAACTTGACTACTTACTGGGTAGTTGTTGTTTTCAAGTATTCTCTTTCTTTAGAAGTGAGTATAACCTGAACATACTCGCAAGATCGAATGCAGAAGCTTCTAATTTTACAACAGTACGTGGTTGGGATCCATTATTTCGACATTCTCAAGATGCGAATAACTTGTAATAAAGCACTACTTTCCTGAAGTGTTATCGATAAGCACTAAATGATTCTACTGTGTGACTTTTGCTTCAAACTTCAAGGATGTTACGTCTTCTCTACATGACATAAAGTCATGACGAATACAATCTTTATATTAATATATACTTTTATGGGGTGATGATTGGAAGTGAAATGAGAACATGAGTAACCACAGAATTTGAACCAGTGGCCTCGGGATACCGAACTAACTCTGTACTAGCTGAACTGTGACACTCGGTTGCTGACCAGATCTCAACTTTGCCTATTTGAAATATTGTATTGGAAGTAGTTCTATGGTTTAAATGTTCGACTTTCGAAAAGTGAAGCTTGGGTGTCAGCCCTATTTCAGCCTCCATAACTGACTAATTTCATAAATCCTCACACAATAAGTGTGGCTCATAGCCTATAACATGGACATTTACTAAATTGACTAGCATTAATTCTGACTTTTGTTAGGAATAACGGTTTTTATTACATAGCTGGGAAATATGGCTTAATTTTTGAAGGGACTTTTTTCCGGAAGTGTATTTACTAAATAATAGAGTATCGAGGAGGGGAAGCGGAGTGATTAGTAAGGCAGAAAATTCATGTCCAGAAATGAAACGTCAAGGATATGTTATTGCTAAACCACTGCTCCCGTAAGTTTATCCAGAAATACTAAAGGAGTGGCAGGATGAATATCGTTAATAATACAATTACAGACACTAAATGTTAGTAATAAAATCACTGAGAAGGATTTAAAAACTGGCATAGTTTTGCCATATAAAGAAGAGATATCAGAAGCCATATGATGGGTTCTGAATAAGACCGAAATTAAAGTGGCGTTTAAACCTACAGACTAACTGGAGGACATACTCTGTCGGTTAAAGCATCTTATCGAACCTAGTTGACAAACAACTTGGTCTACCAAATTTCACGCAATGTCTATGAAGTAAAATACCATAGGTTGACCGGATTCCGTCGTACAGAAAATTTCAAATTGTTGATTAATGCTCAGATTGAAAATCTTCATGATCAACTGAGTTCACTTATTTCAACTTCTGAAAATCGAAGCTGGCTGGAAGCTGAATTTGTCAGTATCGCGAATGATGTCTGTAGCTCTGGTTCCAGACAGAAGCGTTCTGACTTCTCAGCATTTCAATGCATCAAAAGATTACGGAGTAAAAATGATATAGTCATTCTTAAACCCGATACGGGATCTGGGGTAGCTGTTATGAATATGTAATTATGTAATTATAACAATGATTGCCTGTTTCTCTTCCCCTCTCAATCTTGTCATGTTCCACGGCTGTTGCTGGGTCTAACTGTGTATTGGGAACTGTGTTTTCTGCCATATATTAACTGGAATGACGACTCCTTGGTTTTTCCTTGTACCAACATGATGCGCTAGTAATACTAACAGCAGTCCCGTCTCCCAATTCCCTCCACGGCTTTCGCAGCCAACGGTTATTCCGTTCTGGCAGACCGTTAGTCTGTGGGTGGTACGGCGTCATTCTTATCCTCTTGATATCAAGCTGCTCCAAACAAGATTTGAATTATTCACCCTCAAAACAAGGACCTTGGTCGGTCAGTATCATCTTCGGCACACTGTGATCCGCGACAATATGCCGCATCACTGCTGCGGTCACTGTCTTAGCGCGTTGATCAGGAATCGCGACAGCGTCTACCTATCGTGTAGCATGCTCCGTTATCACCAACAGGTATTGGTTGCCACCAGATGTCTGCGGAAATGGTCCCATTACGTCCACAAACCATTGGTCACCAACTGTTGTTACTGGAATAGACTGAGACGGTCGTCTTTTTTTTTACGGATCACCTTTCATTTACTAACAATGAGGACAACCCAGCACGTGTTTGGCAACATCTTCTCTCATACCTGGCCAGTACGCACTTTGTTTGAGAAGGTCAGCTGTCCGTGAGACACCTGTATGAGCTAACTGGTGACATTCTTGTATCATTTTGTCGCGTAGACATTTCGGAATCACTGCCAACCAGTTCCTGTCGTTTTCTCGCCACGTCAGCCTTCCATAAGCATTCATCCGTAGGCGCTGTCTCTGTGTCAACAACGTTCTCAACTCTTTATTTTCCACAGACGTTTGTCTCCATCCCTTCAGTTGTGGCCTTTATCACTTCTTTAAGTGTAGAGTCCGACTTTTGAGGGTGAATAAGTCTTAATGGGTCCCGTTTTACTTCATGTACACCGTGTACGATCTCAGGTAGTTCATTTTCTTCGTCTGATCTTGATAAGAAGTCTGCCAACCAGTTTTCTTTCCCTGCAACGTGACCGATTGTGAAATGATACCATTGCAGTCGTAACGTCCAACGTGATAATTTTTCCTCTGGGGTGTCTTGTTGCCTTTAGCCACTTTAGGGGTTTATAATCGGTTTCAATGTGGAATCGATGACCGAGGAGGTACGATCTCCATTTATTCAGCCCCCAAGCTGTCGCTAGACATTCCTTTTCCACTGTAGAATATTTCCGTTCTGCGGGTGTGAGGAGACGGCTGGCATACTCCACTACTCCATCAGGTTCTTTCAGAACTGTGCTTATGCCATAATCACTTGCATTAGTGGACACAATGAGTGGCCTCCCGGGTAATTCGTGGTTTTAAGGTCATCTCCTGGTCGTTTACGAGTTCTTTGATGTGATCAAAGTTTTTTTGTGCCTCCTCTGTCCACTCAAATTTGGGGTTGCCAAGTAGCTTATATAAAGGTGCTGCTATCTCATTCAAATTTCTGAGGAATCAACTGTAGAATGCTGCCCTACCCAATAAATGTCGCAGTTTCCTCTTGGAATTCCGTACTGGAATAGTTCTGACGGTCAGAATTTTCTCATTAGTGGTTTTATTTCGCCGTTTCTAACTTTGTGTCCTAGCAACGTAACATTCCTCTTTGCTACCTGAGGTTTTATTTTATACATACATTCCATACATTCTTATCAGCAGCATCCACTGTAATCCGCCTGCGTTATCTCTTGCGTTGCTCTTGGAAGAAACCTTACCCATTGCTGGTAATTGCCCATGATTCCTGCCACCCTCTCGACATATACTACTTATATCCATTCTTATCAGCAACGCCCACTACAATATTTGTGGATATCGTTGTTATTCTCCATTGATTTAAATCTATCAAAGTGTCCTACCTCTATTAGCATGTAGGATGCCGTGGAGATCCCTCAATATTGCCTGGACAGTTATTACGATAATTTACTTGGTTGTGGCTAAAAGAAAAGCCTAGTACGCGCGACTTCTATTTGGAACTCGTCAGCTGGATGTATCTCCATCCTACTCGAACACCGTACCCATCGTTTCGAACACCAACGCGTTATTCACTAGGCCACTGAGGTACGAGGCGTAAAAATGGATTATTCTTTCTTATCATCCCTATATTTTCCAAATCTTGTATTATCCTAGTTTAATCTCACAAATGAAAAAGCTTGAAGGTTAAAAAGGAAAACGAACGAACCACAGCAAGAGTGAAAAGAAATAAAGCCAAGGTGACGACAAAGACTATACATACTTCTTTTGCAAACAAATGTCAAGCTTCAGATCATGGAAAACCAAGGCTTTTCCTGTTTTCAGAAGCTGAACATCTGTATCTAACAATTCACCTGCTCCTGTGGAACAGGGTACATCGGCCGCCTCAGAGATTCCTAACAACACGCATTGTCATTATTCTTTTTCCCGTGTCCAACATCGGGCGTCAGTAGCACATCTCCGTTGCATTCTGTTCTCTGCAAACATTTGAACCTGGCTCCACGACTGCCCACAGGCTTTCATTTCTTCCTCATATGATCTCCTCCATGTCACCCTCACCTCGGACACCCAACTCATTGTTTTCCCTTAGGGTTCCACTCGAGGGCGTGGCGCGCGATGTCCCCAGTCGGCCTTCTCAGTGTATGTCCAATCCATCTCCACTTCCTTCTGCATATTTGTTGCGTGATAGGTTCTTGGTTGGTTGGTTCGTTGCCAGAGTTCCTTGTTGCTTATTCTTCCTGGCCATCTGATCTGATCTTCAGTATCGAGCGTAGGCAGCTGTTGATGAATGTCTGCAGTTTGTTGGAAATGCTTATTGTGACATGCCAAGTTTCTGAACCATATAGCAGCACTGACTTGACTGGATTGGTGTTGAAAATCCGGACCTTGTTCCATATGCTGAGTGCAGTAGATCTCCACGCTAATTTCCGATTAATGAAAGCCTGTCTTGCTTTTCCGATCCTGGCTTTGACATCCTCGTCTGTGCCGCCGCCTGTAGTTGAAACAGTGCTTCCTAGATAGGTGAAGGAGGTTACTTCCTTTAAGTTTCTCCCGTTAATGGTGATTGGAGCTTGTTGTTGTTGGTTGGGTATCTTCATCACCTCTGTCTTCTCTACGTTCACTTGAAGTACCGTCTTCGCTGCCCTGCCTCTTCTGTCAACTTGTTGGATTTCGCCTGTAGATCTTCAAGTTTGTGTGATATTAGACACAAGTCGTCGGCGAATTCCAAATCTTCTACGGTCTTCTCATCGGTCGAACAGCGCATCCCTCTCTTCTCGCTCCTCACTGTTTGTTGCATGATCCAGTCCACTACAATCATGAATATCATGGGTGATAGTAGGCAGCCTTGTTTCACTCCTGTCTTCACTTCAAAAGCATCACTGAGCTTCCCATTGTGAATTACTTGGCATGTGGCGTCTTCATATAGTTGTTGAATGAGGTTG